GCTTGTTTGTTCAATTGGGTTTTGGATGGGAGAGTACTGTATGGGTTGGAAGAGCCACAGTTCACTGTGACGGTGGAGGAAGAGTAAAGTAGATGGCTCGATACAGGTGTATGTGCAGTTTGCACTATGTACTTGATCTTTGCGATTGGTAAATGCTGGCAGCGGTTTCTACAGTCAAGGAGATATCTGGCTTGCTATCATTCTTTCGGACGCCGTATGTTAGTTCATAGCTGTGGTGCCATAAACCATGCACTGAATAATGGTCGGTTCCGCAGTCGTACCTCAAAACCAAGGAAGTCGCGGAGATGGTAGTCGCTCCCGGAATCTATAGGGCGTGAAGCCGAAGCTTGAGTACGTCGACGAAACAGACGCTACAACCTCAAGTCTTACACTCTTCAAAAGGCGTATCAGCTACTGCCCCAGTATTACCCCCTTCGCTTGGCCTCGCATGCCTCCGCACCTCATCGCTCTTGAGAAGGTCTCCCAGCGCCTTGAAGTTGACGGGCTTCGTCATAAAGTGATCGATCCCTGAACTCCACGCTTCCAACTTAGCGCTCGACGATGCTAACCCAGTAAGTGCGACAATAGAACACCTTGGCAGTTTGTTGCTTCGCTCGTATTCGCGGATGGCTCGCGTAGCGCTCATGCCGTCCATGACCGGCATGGACATATCCATTAATATAACGTCGTACTTGCGCGGTCCTTCCCGGTACTTGTCCACAGCTTCCTGCCCATTTGATGCCTGGTCGAATTGAAGACCATTCTTTTTCATAAACGCGACGAGCAGTCGTCGATTCAACGGGTTATCATCGACGATGAGTGTGTGCGATATCACAGGGTCGTCTTCTTGAGGCGACGTAGGCGAAGTAACGGAAGCCTGCGCAACTGTGGATCCAGCCGTAGATGGAGCAACCGGTCTAGGTGAATCTGAATCGAGAGACTCCATGGCACTCTGCATCGACTTCATTGGTGTTGAAGGGCGCGACTGTTGTGGCGGGCTTTGCCACATGGGCTGTGGCGGTGGGCTGGACACACCAGTGGGTTGCAAGTTTTCAGCTGGGTGTTCGTAACGATCCAAACATCGGTTGAGAACCCAAGCGAGTTTATAAGGTCCGCATGGCTGGGTTATAATCTCTACTACCGACTCCCGATTGGTGACACGGACGTCAGAGCGCAGGGTCGCTGCTTCAAGTGCATCCATACCGACAAAGATAGTCACTGGGGCGCGCTGGCCATTGGGCCTTCGTTTCCGGATCGTAGCGAGGTAGTCAAAGGACAACTCCGGACAGATGACCATGTCGGCGTCATGACCTTCCCACTCATTCGTTTTCACGACTTCCATCTTGAGATGTGTCTCCAAGGTATAGACCAGTGCGTTAGTGAAGCGTAATAGGCCTTCGTCCGTCTTTGAGAGACTATTGTCTTCAGCTGGTCTCTCTATCGTCTTGCGAAGGATGCATATTCTCCGGCCTTCTAGCCTCGGCAGATAAGACAGAAACTGCGCTCGCTCCGCTGTCATCGTCCCAGGTATCTCCGGTCTGGCGAGAGCAAGTTTGACAATGAGCTTGGTGCCCACGTTGCGGTCGCTGCTGACCTCAACCTTGCCACCGTTCGTGTCGATTATTTGGCGCACAATACTCATACCCAAGCCTGTGCCTGGCGCGTGAGGATTCTCCTGGGAGAATGGATGAAAGAGGCGGTTTGCGAGGAAACTAGAACTCATACCCGAGCCAGTATCCGTAATGGTGAGCGTGATCGCTGTAGGGGCATCGGCGTTTTCTGCTAGATTGCTGGATCGTAGGGAAACATGAATATACCCCGTTTCGGTATACTTGACAGCGTTGCCAAACAGATTCATCACGATTCTTCTCCAAGATCCAATTGGAAATGAAAAGACCCAATCATCATCGTAAGCCAAGTCGAAAACGACGAAACGTGCTCGTCGTTGCGGAAACGACATTGCGTGTTCATCTGTAGGCGATATAGGTGCTTCCATGAGCCTGGACGTGGCTGGAATATACGATGACCCAGAAAGTACCGCTTCCACTACCTCTTCGGTTGCGATCCCGAGATCAAATGCAGAAACTTTTCTTCGCCTGCTTTTCAAGGGTTTCGAAGATAGCCGTATCGTGTTCTCATTCTTCAGTTTTTTCGAGGAGACTATCTTCTTTTCCTCGCTGATCTTGGCGTAGTCCATGAGATGGTTAATGGTATCAAGCAGCGTCGTACCGCAGGCGTGCAAAGAGTTCATCATGCTCGTCTGGAACGAGTCGAGCGGCGTATCTTTGATGAACTCCAACGTACCGAGTATTCCGTGCAAGGGCGAACGTAACTCATGTGAAATAGACGAAATAAACGTCGACTTGGCCTGTGACACATTCTTAGCTCTCGCAACATTGGCGTCTTATTCGTTTACCCACCTGATCCAAGGCTGCAGCATCTAGTCTTGAGAGCTCCCTCATGATTGAGTGACTGAAAATCTTGAAATATGCCATGTCCACAGATGCTGACAATAATCTGTATGGATCGTTGCTCCAGCAGAGACAGCCGGCGAACCATCTGGACCTTTCAAAGTCCCAAAAGGGAATGAAAGCAATACTGCGTGCTCTCGGAAACATCGCCTGTATAGCAGCCGATCCCCGCTGTGATCGATCGTTGGTCTTGCGCTTCGATAGCGGGGTAGGTGACAGATGTTCAGCAACCTTGAGGCTCGAGACCGCTTCCTCACTCGAGGACAAGGAATCGCCTTCAGCACTGAAAGTAAATATCTTGCCATGTGGGTATTCGTGAAACAGGCGAGAAAGGTCAGGTTCCAATAATGTCCCATATTCCGGCTCTTTGTCGCTCGGGGTGGCTACTCCAAGTAGCTGACACATTTTGGACGTTGAGGAGGAAGTGCCGCGGGCATACCCTTCGGTGCTGTTTGAGCTCGCTTCATCGCTGGAAGATCTAGATCGATACGATTCGGAGGGAGCTTCAGTTCCGCTCCTTGAGGCGCTGTTGTTCCGACGCTGTCCCCCGCTTGCTGCAACGCTCGCATCGAGGATGAGCACTCCATCCAGATCGCTCGAGCTCATCAATAAGTTTGCAGCACGAGAGAACATGGACTTTGAGTCGGTGGGTAAGATGGAGTCCTCTACATTGTAGCATGAAGTCAGTGCTTGTATCAGAAACTTGCAAAGTGATGTTCCTTACGTAGCGACCGAATCGACCGATGTCGGTTAGATCTGGCACGACTCGCCTTCGGTCTTGCTGATAGCGATTGGTTGGGAACAGTCTGGTGCAACTCGTCTCTTTCTTGCGCAGTCGTGGCCCTATCCGTAGGTGCTCTGTCCTTCTCATCTCGCGATGATGTGGATGATGGATCCCACAATGTTTGGGAGACTGCCATCGAATTGTGCCGAGATTCACCATCAAACGGAGCGAGAGAAGAGGCGCCTTCAGCAAATGAGACGAGACCGCGGGTGAACTGCTCCCCTCGCCTGTACTTGTCCCTGATCGTGTATGTGTTCAGGTAATTAATGACCGTAGAGCCCAGGTCCTTGAACAAAGTGATTTCCTCTTTGGAAAAACCTTCTCGAGCCTTATTGTCGAAGATACAAAGCGTTCCAACTACTGCGCCGTTTGGAGACATCAACGCGACGCTGGCGTAGAAGCGCATGTCGGAATTCCCTTGGACGTCGGTGCGAAGACATGTCCTTTGATCTGTAGTAAGATCATTGATGACAAAGACTGGGTGATCATGCCGGTCCAATTCCAAGACCTTTTCACATAGGCCCCAGCTCCGCGGAGTGCTAACGTTTCCGAGCCAAAGATCTTTTGGAGCATCACCTGGCGCTTCTGGTCGTAAGGGTAAGTCACGAGTTGCCTCTGCGAGTATATGTTGTCGTTCGTCGTCGATGAGCGATATCATGGACCGTTGTGCCCCCATACGGATGGCCGTAAGTTGGCACAAGGCTGTCAGTGTCGAGTCTAGAGACAGGCGAGGTACATGGTTTTCCAGGTTGTTGACCTGGGGGATGTTGCGAAAGGCTGCGCCATAAAGGAGAAGTACGTCGCGTTCTCTCCTCATACCATAGCGGTCCGTTTTGGTCTCATCGCGGCTGTCCAAATGTTGACCCATGATGCGCAGTACCAGCGACTAAGCCACGAAAGGTCGGAGGCGTCCACTAGCTTTCTCAGGCTCCATGCTTCGCCGTTGCAACAGTAGAGAAAAACGATAAATACTTGCATTCAACAAACATCAGACATCGTGAGGTATGAAGTGAAAGTTTGCATATCGCCACGCGAGACGAGCCGACTCAACACAGGCGGCCAAAGGACTTGCGGGTCGGCAGGGAGCTAGCGTAGCTTTTCGCACCTGAGTGCGCTAATGCACTCTGGTACCTTCTCACTGGCCACCTGCGTGTTCCGCATTCCCATTGCATCTAGATTTGCCCTAGGGCATCTAGAAGTGCGTATGGACAATCTGCAATCTCGGTCCCTCATAGTGCACTCCAATGACAGGCGAGATCGGCCTCTAACGAGGGCTAATCTCACTCGGCTGCAGATGTGGCGAATCTGGCGAATCTACAGCGTGCTAGCTGTGGCTATTTGTAACGTAAGCGGCTGGCATATGCAGATACGCACTTGTGCGCGATGTATGACTTTCAGACAACGATCTGCGGATGGAAGGCTGATGATGGAAGAGTGCTGGGCGGAGGGCAGGACAACGACAACGTCAAATGACGAAGCTATTTCGGCGTCTCGATGTTAGCGCCTTGGCAAAGTCATCCGCGAGGTCGCGGGCTGCAACTTGCGTTCGCTACCCAGCAGAACTTGCGACTGCAGCACCTGAGAGACCAACGACATTGTGACATAACTACTTCAGTATCAACGAAGTCATTGGGTTTGCGTTTTGTCGGCTTACAAAGAATGTGCTACTGAGGTAACTACCTAGTTAGGGATAGGAAACACCGAGATTACCCAAAAAAGAAAGACTATTGAACGGGAAACATTGATCAGTCTACCTGCAAAGCATCATCGTTCCTCAAGCCTTGATCTCGCGCATATTCCTCATCATCATGACCGTGTACGTCGGTCACGTACTTCTCAAACTCGTTGACAACCCGGACAGCCTGGTCCACATGCGCGTAGCGCAATGAGTCCTTTTTGTACCGCGCCAGCTGGCGAGCTGTGTTGATCGTGTTCCTAATCTGGCGACCGTTCAGTTTATGTCGGGCGAGGATATCGAGCTTGTTGGTTATTTCTTCGGTGTTGATGTTCTCACCAGCCTCCGACAATGACTTGACAAAGTTCCTCCAGACTTCCCAACGGCCATCTCTGTTCAGCGGTGGGTAGTGGAGCGCGAGCTGTATGCGAGACTTGAACGCTTCATCGAAGGTACCGATGCGATTTGTCGTCAAGATCAAGATACCATCGTAGTACTCCAGGACGCGCAAGAACACGGAGACCAGCGCGTTGCGTTGAAGATCCATCTTTGTTCTCTCTTCAAGAAACACATCTGCTTCATCCAGTAGGACCACACAGTCCCAGGTGTTTCCGATGAACAAGGCCGACTCAAGATACTTCTCGACGCTTTCGGCATCTGTCCCAATATCTCCACAAGTCACCCTATAAAGAGGACGATGAACGAGTTCTGCAATACTTTCCGCGGTGAGGGTCTTGCCAGTACCTGGTCCGCCATGAAGCAGTATGATAAGACCCTCACCCTTTCCGTCCATGAAGTCGGTCTTGATCTCACGGCTCTTCTCAATGTGGACCGTGACTAGCGCTTTTACCAGCTCTTTCTTGTCTTCCTGGAGAACCAGTCGGTTCTCGAAGACTCCACTGTTCCATTTGATATCCTGTATATGTTCCACCAGCAGTGTATCTGTGATCGTGTTTAGCATTCATATGGCCAAATGATTTTGTGTGAACATACTCCATTTCTTGTTGTGAAAGCCATAACCCTTGATAGTTGGAGGCAGCATAAGCGTGAATGCACCACCTGGAGGCTCATCATTCTCCAACTCTTCACTGCTGAGTTCGCTTTGGGTTGTTGGGTCATTGTCACGGCCATGCATTAGCTTCCAAGCTTCTGCGTCAACCATGTACCGCAGATTAGCCTGGCGATGTCAGCAAAACTCGTTGTTGTCAGGATTGTAATCTTACAAGCTGCGTTCCAAGCCCTTGCAATGGCATATCGTAGTTCACATATTTTCGACGCCGGCAACTCCAGAAGGTATTGCCGCGGTTACGCAATGCAGACTCGATCCCTTCTGCTGCGTAGCGAACAGGGTAAACCGAAATGTCTGTTATCGCTACCTGCTTTGACCTGGAGGGCCATTTGACGGGCATCATGATGTGGTTTTGAAAGAAGTTGCCATCATACTCCCAAGACCAGCAATCCATTTCCAGCGTGTTCTCATCCACCAGTCGGCAAGATTTCACAGTATAGGCGCGGTATTGGCCTTCTTGAAGAGTGATTGCCGTATCGTCCGGCAGGAACAGCATCATCCAATGCTTTCGGTCTACCATTCCCGTAGCTGCTAGTTCTTCCATCCCCTTGTACTCCGAGGTCAAGCGCTCATCTATGTACTTAGATAGCACCTGAAGATCTGTCTGTTGCTGTAGGTCCAGATTCTGCTTCAAAGGTCCGACAAGTATGTGATTGCAATGATAAAGTTTGGGGTAAGGATAGACAAGATCGTTGTCGAAATTCCATTCGCTGGGCATCTCTGGGCTTTGGCCTTGCAGCGCATTCAGAGATTCTTCAAGGGTCTCTGATAGCTGCAGTTGCTCGGCAGTCGCTTCTGCTATCGGTCCATCATGCTGGAGAACTCGGAAAAAGGGCTTCATGCCAAGATTCATATCGTGAGGCATCGAAGGCATCGGAAGACGCATGAAGGCGTCTTTGATTTTCGCGTGGTAGGCTTCGCAATCGTAGTCGACGAACACAACAATACTGAACCCGAAGTTGTCGTCCAAGTAGTTATCCACGTCTCGCAAAGGGAACTGACCATGCAAGGCTGTACTTTGATTGTCGGATGCGACCATGGCTGGTGTATCGAAATAGTAAGAGCTTGGAGGGTGACTTGCATGATTTCTTTGTGTACGTGGGCACCTTACACGATGTATGGTAATTTGTTGTGTAATAGATCCTTCTGTTGATAGACGCGCCCGCTTGGCAATCTCAGCCTCGGGCGGGAATTCCTGCGTGTCACCAAGGACAGTTGCCTCTGTTGCATCATCCGGACTCCAAAGGCGCTTCCTTCTGGCGTGGATTTCCATATGATCCGGATTGGTTCCAGACAGACGATGGATGAGGTGGCGTTGGTGAGAGATAGCGAAAGGATGAGCGCAGCCGAATCCCATTTGTAGATCTTGGCTTCACCGGTCAGAGGTGGCTTAGAAGAACGCTAGTCTTATTTTGGCAAAGGTTTATTAAAACACATGTTCGTATTTTCTGAGCATTCGCGATGTTATCACATTAAATGCAGGTTTCTGAGCTTGCATTGGCTCCAAGATAGTTCACCCGACACCTGCAGAGCTACCTTTATCTAAAGAATACATGCCATTCCAAGCCCATGTGTATGCAATGGTTGTGGTCGGGGAGACTGGGGATCGTGATGGGTATCCCCATGGCTCAAGATACCTGTTGCTTTCGCCTTGGCCTAAATGACGTTTGGCTTTGGTGGTATGTCGAGTAGGCTGCTTCAAAGCTAAGAAGCACGCTTTATGTCGTTTACGTGCGTCCATTGTTCGATCTTCTGAGATCGTGTACCTCAGTTTCTCGCGAGGAAATCTGTATGCTGAGCTAGATGTGACTTCGCTCGCAATTTTGGTGGAGCGATCATCACGCTCGTCAATCTCATCTATCTGAAACGCGTAAGAGGGCGTATGACTGGTTGTTGTTTGTTTCTTGTTTGAGTTGGACCCTTCTGGTGAGTCTGACGGCTGCGATTGTGGTCCATTGTGTCTCTCCTTGTGGCGCTCGAGGAGGCCTCGGGTAAAATATCTGTAACAACCGGGAAAGTCACATCGGTAGGTTAGCTCGGGAGGTGGAAGTGGAGGTGGAGGTGTAGCATTGCTCATATACATGGCAGACACTGGAGATGCACGTTGCTGCCCTGTGATACCTTCGTGTAAAGATGAGCCGGGTAGTAGATCATGTTGCATCACGGGTGACATGAACTTTGGAACTGGGCTGGGTTCCATGCTGGGTTGTATCTCCTGTCCTTGTTGGGGTACTGGCTCTTTGCGCTTTCTCGGGTTGCCGTAGATGCATCTCGTGTGGGTTTGGAGGCAGCGCGCGCAGACTGGATGCTCTTTGCTGCACTTAACTTCAGACGCAGCGCATTCGTCGCATGAAGCCATGAGTTCTAGATTCCCGGCTCTTCGAGGTTTAAGGTCTGTGTCGAATGCGGTATAGTCCCGACTTAGCCCCTTCGCTCGAGTTGTGAACGCTGACGACGCTTCCGTTTGGCCGTCAAATACGGGTTGCGCAGTATTGCGATTGTAGACATTCGTAGGCAGGTGTCGTAGTGAGATCGGTGTAGCAAGATGATAATGCCTGGCGTTTGAATGTAATGGCTTGCCTGAGTGCTCGTAGACTGGTGGGTCGTTTTTCTGATCCACAAGGTCTTGGCCCAGCGAAACGTAAGCAGAGGTAGTTTCGTTACGTCGTTGAACGTCTTTGGACTTGAGGTAATTGTGAAAAGCTTCCTCCCGGGCGTTTGTCATGCTGGAGTATGGTCGGGATTCCGAAGGCTCAGCAGCAGTGGCCGGACGTGTTGCCATTGACCCCGTCCGCGTGCGCGGTCTCGGCTGTAGCAATCGCGAAGCCGTCTGCCATCTCGGATCTCGAATATCGCTCATTGAGTTCAAAGTTCTCCAATGCCTAGGTATCCAGCGCACAATGTACAGCGATCTGATATGAAAGCGTTTAACACTTGTCGCCTGAAAATTTCTCGATTATCCAAGGTTAGGTCCTTTCGCGAGTAGGTGCGGCAGAGCGGCCGTGGGGGGCATTAACGCGGGTCGCATACGATGGAGTGTCCGATAACGTGTCCACGGGTCGAGGCGACTAGGTTCGTGTGGCAGAAAACAATGACACATGTGATCAGGCATTCGACCATCCGCTTGAAATTCCGTGGGTTGAAAAGGGCGTCGCTGGGCAGGGTAATGGGCGGGTGGGCGTGCCACGATTGCAGCGCAGCATGCAGCCTGTTCTCCGCACAGGCTCAGCCCTCCTGCACAGCCCGTGTTTCTGGAGCTGCGTCAGTGATAGCATGATTCGGCGGCGTCGGCGACATTTGTGAACGTTCAAATTCGTCTCGAGCCATAATCGTAGTGAACAATGGAGCTAAAATCGAGGTTCTCCTTCTAGGTACGTTTGAAGCAACTGATGCACATGACATCATGCAGACCTAGTCTGATTGGACGACTGCTGTGATCGGCCCTCGTGGGAACCATGACCAGTCTTTCTGTCAACGATGCGCACTTGGATTATTACATTCGAGAGTCCACCTCGCAACATACAGAGTTGAAAAAAAAAGACGATGATATAACTATGCATAACACAGTGCTCTTGTGCACAACGTGTGTCACCTACGCAACACATACAAGCTTGAAGACTGCGAACATTCCAAGGCGAAGTACTTGGCCTTGAGTCGCCTCGACCTGCCCTCCGTAAGATCTTCTGAGATAGTATACTTCATCTTCTTTCGGTGAAACCTATCAGGGTGATCCTGGCCGTTTCTTGTGGGCTCTTCGTTTTCTTGACGACCAAATCTCAGGGCGCGCCGCTCAAGGTAGTGCGCTTCACGTGTCGCATAATCATCTGTGATTTCAGCGGCGGCACCTTTTTGATCTCTCAGAAGAGGGTGCTGAGGGGTACCTGAGTATGAGCGTTTCATGCGTTTGGATTTCGTAACACTACGCTCGAGAGCTTGCTCACGCTCACGCTCATGCTCGTGTTTCTGTCCATACCCCTGCTCATCCTCATTATGCTCAAGGGAATACTCACTCGGCGTGGGAGGATTACTCTCTGCTAGGTCATGGAAGTCCTGTGGCCGGTCCTGCTCCGGAGCATCTTTGAGGTATATGATCGGCTCTCCGTCCTCAGTCATGACTGGAATATCTGGCTGACTTCCATGGATATCGGAATACTCGTCATACGCTGAAACCTCAGGCTGCTCTCCTTTCACTATGTTAGACTGGATTCTTTATGGGCGCGCATGATTACTTACTCCCTCGTCCTCGTTCCCCAGGCCTCGGGTAGGTTCTGAACTGTATTCCAGGGGCGTGATAGCTCCTATACTGACGCCTGGGCTCTGATTGTGATTGCGGAGGTGGTCTTTCGGTTGACCGGGGCGCCCTTTGCACGGATGGAGACAGTACCCAGGATGAAAGATCATGAAAATGATTGAGTAACGGCGCTGGGGTATAGTCATAGCTACCCGGGTCTTGAGAAAGAGCTGTCCGCGATCGTTCAATTGCGGTAGTCGTGGCGGGCAAGCGAACTTTACGTTCTATCCCAGTTTCCTCCCTTCTACTACGACCTTTGCCCAAGATCTGATGGGCGTCTTGTTTCAGCGGCCTTAGGGGAGTAACAAACGGCGGCGGCGTCGACGAAAGATTAACGTGAAAGGATTGATCAGTAGGGTATTGCGCTGGTTGCATTGATGATACACGCTCGTCAAATACGCTCCGCCTCCGCTTCCGACGATCCCAGTGCGGAGACCGCGCCGGCTCCATTTCTTCCATCCGGGACGTGGGATCTACAGGTTTCCCTGGCCGTTGCCATTGCCTGTTACCACTATCGTCGTAGTAATAAATCGAACCATTCTCAGCTGTTGCCTCGTACCAACCCTTGGGAAGAGGATGAGACGGTCTTTCTCGCATGACTTTTCGAGAAGGGGCAGAAAAGGAACCAGCTGGGCCGCGAGGCGGAATCAAATGTCGCTCCATGAGGCTTAAACGTAAGAGAAGGTAGAGCTACATGCAGATTATAGAGTGTGCGATGGCTCTTTGTCGTGGTTTCTGCTTCGAAATCGACCTCGGAACCACCTGTAAGCTTCGTATTTGTAAAGCATCCTTGGCGCAGCCTCAGCCTCCATGCACAGCCCGCTGTTCTGACCAACCACGCTTGCATGCCACGTATGACCCTAATTGAAGTTCTCTCACAGCAACTAGGGTAACAGGGAGCATAATTAATAACAAGTTGTGAGAGCACATTGACCTGAATCTTGAACCGCGGACTGCCAAAACCCACAACGATGTCAACTGATCGAGTGTTCTCACAATCTCGAAAGGGCGTGAGGTTCGCATCGCTGGATTGTTCATTCATTGCAAAGCCCTGGAAGAGCCACTACTTCGCTTTTTATCGTCGCCAAAGAGATGCCCAAGGCTAGCTGCAATGGTGGCTCGAATATAGAGTCCTTGGACATACCACAAGCTTTGTGTCAGTTAAATTTGGCAATCCATCATTACCCTCCGTCTCGTGGATAAGTTGTCGTGTCCAGAGCAAGTAAGAGCTCGATCTCTGAATGGCTTTTCTTGTGTCTTGTGAGATGCTCAGCTCGCGAGTAAGATCTCGCGCAAATTTCGCAACTATGCTTCTTTAGCCCTTTTTTTGCCTTTGTCCTGACAACATGGACATCTTTATCACGTTTTGGGAAATCTTCCCCTGTAGTGAACCCTTTACCAGCATGGACGTGGACCACGTCATGCATTACGGGATGTCGCCCTCTTGCCAACCTTTCAACTCCAGATCCAGCCCCAAAATATCTACACGTGACTCTTGTGTTAGGCCGCGCCAAAGCGATGAATCGCGCTTTAAGCCGCTTGGATGGCTTCATTGTGTGATCTTCTGATATTGTATAGTTAAATTTCTTCTGAGAGAACTTGTGCTCTGAGTTATGTCTCCGCTTGGTCGTATTTGTGGAGGTCCAATCATCAGTCTGGCCAGTCGGACGTTCTGGGGAATCATGATGGAGTGTTATTTGGTGATCGTCTTCGTGGAAACCTTGTTGTACAGATCGTGGTGGCGTAGAAGGAGCTTGAGTGATATGTGCCGATGATCCCAAAGTTGTATCGCTATCCCGGGGGACACCTGTGTCGGTAAGTCTGCGGGGACGGCCGCCACCGAATTGTCGGACGCGTATGCCAGGGATGCCGCTGCTGAATGGGTGGACGCGTGCACCAGGGCTGCCGCTAGGGTCGAAGATGAAATTATCTGTGTCTATCCCACCTGCGGTTTTCTGTTAGTCTTCTCGTCATTGTGCTATCAACGCCCAGATTCGGGATCTGTGAAAACGTACCGATGTGGCTGGAGACGTCAGGCATTGTCTCTCGCTCCAGCCTCTTGGCAAGAGCAGCACTCGGCTCCTCACGCGTAGCTGAGCCGGGTGATTGAGCTTTGCTCATTGGGGGCGTCACGGACGCCAGTTCGTGCATGGCCCCTGGTCGTGGATCAGTATACAGGCTGGGATTTATGCCTCGTCCTTGTCGTGACCCTTGATCGATGTTGTATGCAACGTTGTCTGGCTTCGAATGCCATACGATCGGCGGTACGAGTGGTGGTGGCGTCGGAGCTGGTGTTGCCTTTACACCTCTGGCTTCCAAGAGGGGAGATTTCGGGAAAGGACTGTCGCTAGGGTAGTACTCCACAGACTCTATGGATCTAACAGCGTCCAGTGTATGGTGAATAGCGTTTCCCGAAGAACGAAAAATGTCGCCCTGGATAGTTGTTGCGGCCATCGGTCTTGGTTGGAGCGCCCGCCGTTCTATTGTAAAACCTTTCGAGTCTCCAGGCAATCTCGGCTGTAGCAGTCGCGAGGCCATTTCCCATTTCTGGCGACGCTCCATTCTCTTTTCTCGAGTCTCAACCCCTCAATGATCAGCGCAATAAACTAGGCAGCCGACTGAACCGAGAGCATTTGGTGTTCGTCGTTCTGGAAAAGGGCCTTGATCACTGAACGTCAGGTTCTTCCTCTGGGTAAGTGGTGGCGCATGCACGGATCTTAGGCGCGTCTGATACAGCAGTGCTCGATTCGAAAACGTAGTGGCGGTCCTCTGATTAGGTAATGGGAAGACGATACGAAAAGTAAACGGCGACTAGACTTTCTGATCATAGATGGTCGAACCGACGCGCATTGGAAGGAGTGTTGTTGTTCGGAAGAACACATCGGTGTGCCCGTGTCGACGTGGGCGCAGCCTGCAGCCTCTCCTCGGCACAGCCGGCCTCAGCCTTCCTGCACAGCCCACTCTTCAGAAGTTGCGCAAGGGGAGGGTAGGTATGGCCCGCATTGTTAGGTTCGTAGTTGTTTGGTAGCTTTGTATGCTAGATCGGAGACATATCGTATGTTCAACATGTCGGTCATAGTGTTGCGCGACCCACATTCGTCCTGGTATACACCAGTGCCAGGTCAGGAGTAGGCAGTATTAGCCAATCACATGAAGCACAGGCGAGGCTGAACATCGTAGGAACCGAAACATCGCGGCGGAAGCGTATCGGGCTGCCATCGAACACCTCAAGAATGAGCTGGACATTTCTCTTGACGATTCAGTCCCTCACAAGTTCCAAGCGTCCATAAAGGATGTCTTCAGCGTGGTGGAGAATGCCAAGAAGGATTACGAAGACAAGAGCAAGCAGGACAAGCATGCAGAAATGAGGCAGTCGCTCGAGAAGCTGTCTGCGCGCATCATGTACTATGGCAAAGTCATGGATACCCTGGCGCAGCATCATCCCGAGTACGTGGCTCTGGTCTGGGGTGCCATGAAGTTCGTTCTGACCGTAGGTTATATCTTGTTTAAGCTTGCCCTACCACTTGTGGTGTACTGACACATCGCTCAAAAGGGGGTGATCAATCGAGCCACCCTCTTCGAAAAGCTATCGCAGGCTCTCATCGCTATTGGTGACGTGCTGCCACGCATGGATTTGAGTGCAGAGCTGTACCAGACTCAGTACATGGAAGCTGCACTTTCACGGCTGTTCACATACATCATTCTCTTCCTCCGCCTTTGCGTTCGTTGGTACAAGAAGAGTCCTCTGGGTCGAATATGTTCTGCCATCAAGACGCCTTTCGAGCTTGGCTACCAAGAGCTGGTGAACCACATCCAAGAGTGTTCGAAAGCAGTGGACGACCTTGCCAGCGCTGGCGCTCGAGCCGAGATCCGCGACGTCCATACCCTAGCAATGCTGCAACATGCGCAGATTCGAGAGCTTGATGCGAAGCTGGCGGGCGTGATGGAAGGACAGAAGAAGTTTGCAGCCCATATCACCCAACTGCTACAGGTCGCATCTTCGCACAAAAGTATTACGGAGCGGATAGGCAACGACGTCTGCAGCATGAGCAAGACAGTATATCGTATCGAGTTCAACGGAGTGATGCAATTCTTCGAACCGAAGGTATTGCCCGAGACAGCCCTGCTCAAAGTGCGATCGCTCGTGCGCCGGGACACGACACCAAGCTTGCCTAGCCCTAATGAACAGAGAGTGCGCAAGGCTGTCTTGGAATGGGCTTTCGGGAAGGGGTCGTCGCTTCTCGTCGTTCAAGTCGGCATTCGTGCACAAAAGCAAGCGAAAGAACTGGCAACAAATGTGATCCAGGAAATGAGGTCCGGAAGTCAGCGCGTTTTCTGGAACTTACCTTCGGGCCGCACATTTTCAGAGGCGCAGACCATCGAGGAGCTGTTCAGAGGCATCATCTTTCAGGTACTCCAACACTCGGGTGATCTGTTCAGTAGCTGTGCCGAGCGGTTGAACCTCTCAAAGATTCATGCTACTCATACGGAGCGCGAGTGGGTCGATCTTGTTTGCCTCCTCTTTTCCAAGTTGTCGACAGCCTTCGTAATAATCGAGACCGAAGCGCTTCAGAAGGCCTACCGACACGATCCTGATTGGAGCAAACGACTATGCGAGTATCTTCAGCTCATCGCTGACCGAAGCTCGGAAGCAGGGTGTGAGCTGAGAATCCTGCTCGTTCTATATGGAAACTCTCATCGAGGCGGTGCAGCTGCTTCAAGCTCGAAGACTGTCCTCGTCACGACATTGCAGCCGCCAAATCCAGTACCTCCGCATCTGCGGCATGTCGCGCGTCGATCTGGTTTAGTAGCTAAGGGATGGAAGATGCAAAGGCCAAAAGGACGAATATAGTCGGAGGTAATGATCACTCAGTTAAAATTAAGAAATCGTAGTGTGGATGACGGCATGGAGGAAGGGAGCTGGCTGCAATCATAGGAAGGCACGTGACTTATCGATACGCACCTACCATCGCGCGAGCGCGACTGCCCATCATTTCGCGCCCGCATCATCACCTTACCTCTCAACTTCATCCACACAAAATCCCTCACATCTCGATATCCACCCCACACACCCACGCGATCTATTTTCATACCATCACCACTGAAATACGTCACCACACAATGATGCTCACGACATCTTTCTTCTCACACCAAATGCCGCACTACTCCGCATACACGCCACCGCGCTCATCACCACTATCCGAGCGCTCCGCAAATGCAGCCCCACGAACCTTCGATTTCACCATGTCGTCACCTCTCAAGGAGAAGTCGGCAATGCCACAACGCGCGTTCAAGGCCAATCCGGTGATGCAGACGCGCGACGCCACTACGAAGCGCAGGAGAGACATGTTCTTCAAGCGCGTGCAGAACAACCGGGACGACAAGAAGTGGGAGTCGCGAGGCGAACAGGTACGTGATGCAATCGTACACAGACGCGATCAGCGATGCTAATTGATGCCGCAGATCCAACAACTAGACTTTGTGTCTGAGCGGAAGCGCTGGGAAGCGGAAAAAGCGCGTCAAGCACCCCAGGAGAATGACGACATCGATGGGGAGGTTATGGACGACGCGCCGCTACCTGTACTCCCACAATACGCGCCTCAATCCGACCCTGAGATGACCGAAGCCGACTACGTCGCCGCACAGGAAGAGTACGAGCTACAACAACTGATCGCGTCGATGGAGCAAGAATCGGATGCGCGGTCACAGCACTATGGTAGCGATGACGACGACTATGATTCGATTTTCATGGAGTGCGCGACAGCGGGCCACGATCACCAGCAACCGCAACGCGCGCAAGACGCGTTCGGAGGGGACGCGATGGATATGGACATGATGGATTGCTGAAGAATGGCTCGATTTAGGAGATACTCAAGATTGACCAAGATCGCTCCCAAGAAGACCACTTGTTGGTGACATCATGGGAGCTCTGCACATGTTGTAAGGCGGGAATTTTGCATCTCAGTATAACAGATTGCTTGGGGGAAGGCATCATATGTACATTGGGTATCTGGGAAGAATGAAGCAGACGAGTTATCGCACAAGGAGATTACTGAGTCGGGCAGCCCTGATCCATATCCTGAAGCGCCTCCTGCGCAGCATTCATATCGCCTACCAGATCCGGCGGTGGAGAGCCGGCGGCTTGCATCTACATTAATATTAGTACCTGTTGCATCATGCATCAGACAGCAATCACATACCTTCTGCATCCTCTCAACAATGTACTCCCTATCCTGCGCGTTGTCGTCACTGTACCCTTTCCTCTCGAACCTGCCTACAATCTCCCGAACCAGCGTCTGCTGCTCCTCATACCTCTTCAAATCATCCTTCTCGCACTTCTCCTTGTTCTTGTCCATCCACGCTGGGAACTTGTCGTCTAGCTCCTTCATCGGCTCGTATAAAATGTCTTTGTTGGTAAGCTGTTCCATCATGCCCATGAGCACTTTGCTGAAGTCCTCGTCGCCACCCTCACCCGCACCACCGAAACCACCTGATTCCATAGATGCGAGCATCTGCGCGAGGATATCGTCTTGGGAGGAAGATGCGGCGGCGGAGGTTGCGGTATCAGAGGAAGACTGCATGCGCTCCATAGTCTTCTTGATGGTTTCCTGGAACGTCTTCTCTGCTTTCGCAGCAGTGGCCTTCTCAGACGGACCAGGCGCTGCTTTCTCTTTCGCCTCGCCCGCACCCTCACCCGCATGCGCATGCGCATGTTCATGCCCAAGCGCAGGATCTTCCAACGGATTCGCGCCCCCCATCTCCGCACTCATCTCCTTCATAATCTCGTCGAACTGTTTCTGGAAGTCGCCCTGACCAAGAAGCTGCTCCATCTCCTTCTGCAGTTGTGCCTGAAACGCATCTTGGTCTTCCATCATGAGTTCCGCGGGGGAGATGTCCGAGGCTGGCCTGCCGGGCCCGGATGACGACGGCGCATCGCTGGTCTTGGGGTAGGCTGCTTCTATTGACGAGGCGGTGGGGGCTTTGGCGTCGAGCTTTGTGTTTGCGAATTCGTCGAGGACATCGTCGAGGTCGGAGAGGTCGTCTTCTTCGGGGTCGGAGGCTACTTCGGTGGGGGGAGGGGCAGTGGTTGTGGGTGTGGGCTTCGCAGGCTGCTGCTCTTCTTTCTTCACGGCTGTGTCCGCCATCTTAGTGTAGTGTAGTCTCACTCCGAGATACAGGTAAGGTTGTGTAGGGTCCAAGAAACAGAGATAGGAACGGGTAAAGAAGATCGTAGCTACCTAGACCAGACACATGCCATGTCAGCCTCGGCCCGCTCATAGGTATTGGATCACATAAGCGGGGCAGGCACCGGCGCCAAGCCCTAGCGCGGGGCAGATCGCGCATCGCACCTTCCACCTTCGCGCGACGGGATCTAGCCCCGAATCCCAACGCTGCGGCGCCCGATAATTGTTGTCTGGTCACGTGCGACCGTAACTCGACTTCACCTGGTCCTCTTACCGTCTGCATTCCTCACCTTTACCGCAATCGTAGCACGTTGACAAGCGCGACGCCACACGCTCAAGCTCGCGATATATAAGACGCCGTCTTTGCAGTTTTCGACCTATCTTTACCGCACGCTCTGTCGGTATCTCAGTACGGAAATCCAGAGGACAAGCTAGAGGCGCAACGGCCAGCCTTGTACCTACACCGACACTATGTCTCTTTGCGTCAACAGGCTCTCGGAAGAGAGGTACGCGTTTCCATCTTCGAACGCACATGATCTTCGCTAACGCAGCAGCCAGAAAGTCATGGCGACGCGACCACCCCTTCGGCTTCTTCGCAAAGCCCATGCGCGGCTCCAACGGCATGATGGACCTAAAGCGATGGGAATGCGGCATACCAGGGAAAGAAAAGACGATATGGGAAGGCGGTCTATTCAAGCTCGAAGTCGCTTTCCCAGATGAATACCCAACAAAGCCACCGAAGTGTACGTCCCCACACATCTCTCAGCCCATGCCCATGCCCATTCCCCCTCCGCCAAACTCCCAAACCTATCTACCCAACAGCAGCTAACCCGTTCAACAGGCAAATTCGTCCCACCCCTCTTCCACCCCAACGTCTACCCCTCGGGCACCGTCTGCCTCTCCATCCTCAACGAAGAAGAAGGCTGGAAGCCCGCCATCAACATCAAGGAGATCCTGCTGGGCATTCAATCGCTTCTCGACGAGCCGAACCCAGAGAGCCCAGCGCAAGCCGACGCGTTCAACCTGTTTAAAAAGGACAAGGCGGCGTACGAGCGCAAGGTCAAGCAGATTGTCAAGGAGAACCCGGCGCCGTAGTACGTTGTCAGAGCGCCAGGGGAAGAGCTACATATTGTTGGGGATGAGAGGGGGGGAGAGGTGGTGTACCGTGGGGTGAGGATGCCTTTTGGTTATATGTGACTGACGGTGAGTGAGGGCCGTTGTGTGGGTTGGGCATGGGATGGTGTGGTCAGGCCTTGATGGGCTGTTATGCAGTGGTCAAGCTGTCTTCTACTCAGCCGCAGCGGATACTGCTCAGACGAGGTCGACATGCTCTTGCATTTTCTTTCTTTCTTTGCCTTGACTTCTTGGTTGAGGCGCGCTTAGTATGGAAACGTCCTTTTGATGAGATACGGATCCTGGCGTTTCGGGGGAGGTTCCCAAGCATTGTATGGGTGCTTAGATGGTGGGAGGAAAAGCCGCATGTGGCTATGATACCTGACTTTCTTCTCAGTCTCCTGGCATTTTGCGCATGGAGTTATATACACGATTGATTCATCTTTGTCGTGTTCCACATTGATATTCATGTGATCGGCTACACGAAGCCATAATAGTAGCTGTGAATATACTCAGTCTGATGCGTAATCCCACCGAAGCAACAAACACACGAGATGCAGGACTGCACGCAACGAAGCAAAGAAAGATATATTAAACCCATCCCGGTCCCTCAGAGAACCCGGTTGATAAGAAGTCCAGCAGCCCTTTCGCCGCATCCTCACGACATGTGTCCAACAATCATCCCTAATAGTACAAGCCTCGGATCTTACAGATAGTCACCGCGACTCCCAATCCAATTTTGTGTCCTTTGTTTCCTTTGTTCACCCTTGCCTCGAGAACCCCAATATAGCAATACAGAAACGGCGACCTAGGTCTGGTGGTATAACGCGTCCCGGTGTCATCGTGGAACACCCTTAGTATGGGCGGTATGCCGATCCGCCTCTTCCGCCACGGTATCCACCACGGTAACCGCCTCCTCGTGGAGCGCCGCCGCCGCCGCCGTAGCCGCCACCGTAGCCACCACGGCCGCCGTATGGTGAGCCGCGTCCGCCGTATCCGCCTCGAGGTCCGCCTCGGCCGCCGCGTCCGCCTCGTGTCATACCGGGGAGGTTCGTTCGCTTGGGTACGACCTGGAAACATGTCAGTTTGCGTTCGCGCATTCGATGGTGCATGTTCTGTATCTCGTACCTTTAGATTCCGGCTGCGGAACTGGCTGTTGTCAAGGACCAAGGCCTCATTGACCAGATGCGGTTCTGTGAACTCCACATACGCATACCTGCATACGCTCATTAGCGTTCCGATCTTTCTGCCAAACTCTTGCCAGGTAGCGAAAGATACTTTCGCCCAACTGTAACCCCAACAAAACGTACGCGACTGTACGCGCGCATACTTGGTGATGTATGAAAGCAAATGATAAAAACTTGTAAATGCGCAAATCGTTCAAGGAAAACCTCCTCTTAGTACTGACCCTTTAGGATGACCTGTGAACTTGTCGAGCAATATGGTCACACGGTTAATGCTTCCGATGCTCTGGAAGTGCGCCTGGATCTCTTCGGGGGAAGCGCCGTAGTCGACGTTACCGACAAAGACACTGCGCGCGTCGACGTCTTCTTTGCTCTCGCGCATCTCGTGGCGTTCTAGGTCCGTCTCGCTTTGCATCTGGCGCAGCTTCTGGGCTTCTTCCTCCATCTCTTGTACGCGTCGCCTCATTGCTGAGATCTCTTCCTGCATTGCACTGTCAGCATGCTCTTCTATTTCGGGACTTGTATGCGCGACAGCAGCCCGCTATCCTCGACAAGTCTCACGCGCGCGTTGTGGTGGATGGTATCGTACCTCTTCGTTGGGGTCTTCGGCGGTATCGAGGCGCTCATCCTCCTCGCGCTTCTGTTCGATAACCTCGGCGTCGGACATGGTAATTTGAGTGTAGTTGAAAGTCTAGGAGACACGTCAGTAAATGCCCTCATTTAACGGGCCGTCCATGACTTACCGGGCTAACGTGAATGTTCCGGGGGCGTGAATGGTAATTAGGTTGCGACCGTTGGGCGGTTGAATTTCCGTTTTGTTGCGATAAGATCAATCACAGATTGCGACGACGTGTAAATGACTGGTGGAGGGTGTGTAGGCTGAAAGACAGAGGGCGGAGGTGAAGGTAATGTTGCTCATACGAAATGACGAATGGCGCTGGGGAAGCTCGTAGCGCGACGCTAACAAGGCAGCGGAGCCTCACTTATGTAAGCACGGGCCAGCTGCAAAGCTGCGTCAGACTCACGACCAACACCTTTGTTCCACTCAGTCATGGCATTGTCAACGCCTTTCACCAGTACGAGTTTGAAACATGAAATTCATTCTTTTTGAGAAAACCGAGCCTTCTTAGATAGTGATGTCTTTTGTTCTGCCGAAGGGACCATCCAAAGTCACCTAGCTCTCGCCTTTCCCTCCTCACGTCAAAGACTTCCAAGGTTGGGAACAATTGCAAGCCTGCCTTGTTGTCATGCTTCCTTTCAGCCGTCTTTCCAGCTTGCGAATATGCCAAGCTTTCCCTGGAACCGTGTACTACAGGCAAAGCACCATGCTGTAGTCTTCACGTGCAAGAACTCGGTTCTTCTCTGGTAGCTCGCTCAGCTGGTGTAGCTTTCGGAGTACACGACACAGATACTCCTTTGGCAGGTCTTCGATCATCGCGAAACTCTCAACGTCCATCTTTCTCACACCGTTGTTGACGCAGAATGAATCCACGATTAGCTGGAGTAAAGGGTCGTTATTTGGCAAAGACTCAAACATCCATATGACAGCCCAAGCCCTGAGACGGTGACTTGACAGATGATGAAACATCCAGTCCATCACTGCCTTCTTCAACGGTCCAACTGACAGTCCCGCTGCCACCAGGTAGGCCCTGAGCATGGATCGCGCCTCACCGCCCTTCGTGTCGACAGAAGGGCGCAGTCTTGTCTCATATATCCAATCAACGAAGACATCGAAGCCTTTACTTGTCGTGTTGTGTAGGCGACACTCATTGACCCCGTTGACGAATACGCGACGGAAATATCCAGAATGGTGCCTCAAAAGCCGCTTGTGTAGAGTGTATCGCTTTTCCTCGGGTCCAACTATGACAACGACGGTCTCTGCTACGGCAGCGGCGCTATGTAAAACTATTAGCATACTTCGTTGTGAGTTCCACGGTCAGTTACTTACCTCGCGCGAGGTGCTTCAACTTTCTTCATGATCCCGCCTTGGATGTGAAGTGTCTTTGTCCTTTGCTGATATGGATGGATGAACGCTGATGCCGCCTACACTCTGCAAGGATCAAGAAGAATAGGTAGAGGAGAACGTGTTGCAGGTGAGAAGAGGTAGGGAGATGATCTACAAAGCTTCCGACTACTTATAGCAAGATGGCCAGCGGATTGTATGAGGTGAGAGCCATCCTACTCTCTCACTTGCGATTCTTGTGCTCAGCGCTTTTGCTTCAACTTCACCTGCTCGATCAACTATGACACGGCACAGTCGAAGATTACAGCTATGTCTATTATCGAAAAACCTCAAGACTAATCTTCGTCTACCCATTGATCGCCACAGGCTCACTATAATCCTCCCGCTTGAAACTCTCCAGCTTCGGCGGCGTCTCCCCCAACTCATTCATCCGCAACATCAATCTCACAAGAAAATCCTGTGGCAAATCCAACGCAGCCGCCTCCTCACATTCGGGCATGTAGAAGACCGCCTTCCGAGTAACCCATATGTCCACCACAAACCGTAGTAATGGATCCGGCTCAGGCAAATTACCGAAGAGTTCAATGATCATGCGGCAGCGTGGTATCACTACCTCCGGGCGCGGGCGAAGGAAAAACTCGAAGTAATCGTCCATGAGCGCAGACTTCAGCCCGGGGACAAGGAGTCGATCTGCTAAGATGTATGTTCGACTTGAGACGGAGGGATTCTTGCCAGCTTCTGGGTAACCGAGTCGCAACGAGATGTCTATGGTACCACGATATATCCAGTCGACGAAGGCATCGAATGCGTCGGTATCGATATCTGTGATGGGAATAATGCCATCGTCGGTTTCTCTAAATGCGCCGGATAGTGCGCCGCGGAAATAGCCGGAGTGGTGCTTGAGGAGTTCAGTATGTAGGATGTACTCTTTGCCTTCCGCACCGACTTTGACAATGACGGTGGGTAAAGTTGCTGCGATGCTATCTGAGAGTCAGTATTGTGTCGAACTTCATGATATCGAACTCACCTAGGGAGAAGCACCGCGTCGGAAGAGCAAGGCTCATTAGTGACCATGTTCGGGTAGTGTGTTGTGATGGTTTGCGTATGTCGACGAAGTGGAGTAGAAAAGACAAACCCTTGACTTCCGCTTGAGTCGAGTGAAATGTACCGTGCTCAGTCTCCTCGCGACAGTGAAAAGGAGGACAAGTTTTCTTCACTTCGGTACTGTCAGGGGCGACCCTGAACGCTACAATACATTCACCGCTTAAGAATGTGGTCCACTGGGGTCAATGTAATCGCCACGCATCTCATGTCAATACAATCACGACTTTCACGAGGGCGTTCGGAGTCAAGTATGAGATGCAGATAGCTTCCAGTGTCACCGTGTAGGTTTCATAGGGAAAATATCGGGCGCGGGTGAACATAGCGCAGTCCCAATAGCTACATCCTGATGGATTATCCACAGCGCGCCATGAAATATTGTTCTCGAAAGAATCATATACGAGTTCGATATGCACGCGGTATATACTCCAGCTGATACGGTGCGCAACCTAACAATGAACGTGATAAACTTGGGGATGCGAACAATATACTTGTGAAAGTATCGATCGTTGTATTGACTACACTAACTTGGTTGACTACAGCTCAAGTTCTGGGGCTGATAGTGGTGCCACAGCCTGCGGTATACATAGCACCATAACTTAACAAACACACAGATCAGAAGATGATGTAGGCTCCTGCCCTAACATATTTCTCGAAAAATTTGACATAGGCTGTAGCTACCACTGGTATCGATAACAGGTCGCGTGTAAATGTTGTGTGTAAGCCCAGATATTTTGATCGTTGTTGTGATCGAGCGTCTACTCCGTCTCAACCTCATCGCGATTCACGAAATCACTTCGCTTAAGCCCAGGAACTCGGAGTGAAATCTTAAGAACTTCGTTACAGACCGTCGTATCGAGGGTACAGCTGTGTGGAGATGTAGCGTCACGGTGTGTAAACCACCTCGGTGTCTTCATCCCGTCCATCTTCTTGCGCAGGCCGTTGACACTTAAGCCGTCAAATGGCGCGACCGGTCGTGGAGACATAATGCCCAGGGTCTTCATTTGCTTCATAAGCGCACCAAGTAACACAGAGCTACACTCAAAGGGGGAAGGCGCCTCATATGGGGTTCTACACGTGTCTGCACCGCAATACGTGTCAACCCATTTATAGCACGCTTCTATCATCTTCGCAATAATTTCTATGCGTCGGGATTCTAAAGCTCCTGCTCAAGTTAGTTGATGATCTTCAAAGAACAAGGACGCATACGTACGAAGAATGCCAGGTGGAATGCCCAAATCCATGTCGCGGATGCTTGGCCGGTCATTTAGTTGCAGTGTCAGCTTGGTGGTACTGCCAAACATCGTGTCCACTTTGAACACCCAGGCCACGAACATCCACAGGATTAACTCGCGACTATACGCGTCTGATAGTGGGCAAATTGTCCGAGTGTGCCTGACCCATACGTCCGCGATCAGGTCGAACGCTTCCCAGCATTGGTAATAGTCCACAAGCTTGGCGACTTTGGCAAGCAGCTCCAGACTCAGCATCTTGGGTACTTGGCGGAAGCGGAGATGAAGCATGTTCAAAAGTATAGCAAATGCTTCTGAGTCCCAGTCTGCGATTTCCATGTGGTAAAACCCATCGTCTGCTTTGTGGTTTTCGCTCCAGGACATGACTTCGCTTTTGAACTTTGGCGAAGCTGTGATCAGGTGTTGAGATGAGACCTGATACACAAAACAAGGGCGTTCCGCATCGTCGCCCAAATTGTCTTGAATTTCTGCCCCCTGCCTCGATCTTTCTGCCATCCTTCTCTTCTTCTGTGGCGGGCCTTCTACCTTCGGATGTTGGTCTGCGTCCGCATCTTCCTTGCCCTCTTCTTTGATGACAGATTCATTGGCTGCATCGTCATCTTCGGCTTCACGCTCCCAAACAGCGAAGGGTGCACCCGGGTTGCGTAGGGTAAGCAATACATCCCCAGATTCGGCTATGATAACTCGTTCGTTCGCGTTCGCGGGTGGCGTCATGACATTGGTGACGCGTCGCGATGTGGAAAGAAGACGTCAGAAGTGGTGATCCCCGCTTCCATTCCGGTCGCGCTAAGACGCGTCTTGCACGTGTTTCGTCAAAACATCTAACAGCGCCATTTCATACAACAAAAACGCTAAACAGCTCTGCAGACTACGTTGAGATAAGAACATGCAAGGTAGGTGTTTTGAAACTGATGTAGGCTCTTGGGTGTTCTATGTTTGCCTAGGCTGACGTGCCTCTGTGGACGCGTCGGCCATAACAGCAAGCACTACTTTACTAACACACTCGCCTCACCTCGATGTCGTTTCAATAACTCATCAACACATTGGCGCGAGAACGCGACAGGAAGACTCACGATGCAGTACGCATGCCACTACTACCTGACAACCCCGCGCGCATCCCTCTACATGGGAACACGCCAGCAGGCCTAGAGGCTGGAGCTACCTGAGGTGTGTACGCCACAACGCGCCATACGGCAAATAAGCTTCGCCATTTTACATTTGCCGGGAGTGCGGGTGATGCACATCAAGATCAGCAAAAAGCAAGTTCAGGGCTGCACGTGGTAAAAGCAACGAAAGCTAAAACCATCGTCTCTTCAAACCACTACGCACCCATTTAACCGCTAGCTTCTCAACGGCGCAATGCACTAGGGTTTGACTGGTCGTGGAGATGAATATCGCACGACAAAGTGCTCGCCTAAGGCACCCTGCTCTAACGTCGACGTTTGGGTTTCGGGGTAATGTGTGGTGGTGATCTAGGGAAGTGGTTGAGTTTTTCATGTGAAGATCAGCGTAGGTGGAGGGAATGTTCAGCCGCAACGTTCTTGAGGTAATGGAGACGTAGAGATCGTCAAAGTTCATGCACATTCTGTGAAGAATTCTCTACTGCGAGGACAAACACACCTGGAATGAAAAGGGAAACAAAGGCTGCGACAATTGAGACTACAAGTAGCGAAGGGCCAATACCCATAGACGATGGCGAGTTCAACAACATAAAAAGAAGTATAATCATCGGCAAATCTTGCACACCATCACCATCTACCTGTGCACCCTCTCCCTATCCCCGACACCACTCTTTCCAACACGCAAAAAAATCTCGCCACACCTTCTCCCCACCCACCTCTCCATCTCAGCTGAAGCTATCCGCGTCACACCAGATCGCCCATCCATCTCAACATCTCATTATCGATAAACCTCCGATCGGACCGACTTGACCTCCCCGAAGCGCAATTCCCAGCTTACCGCCATACTTTCCCACCTCCCACCCTTCCCCTCCCGTCTCACGCAACGCACTACTCTCATCCATTTATCCATGGCCATCTTTTCGGACCTTCAGCCTCACATGCAACACGCATCACATCCCCGACATCCAGCCCCCAGCCCCCGTAATCCCATCAACCCATCACCCACATGACCACGTTCTACTAATGCACAACTGCGCGCAATCAAGCAACTCTCCACTAAAGGCCCGGAGAATTTTTTGCTTAACCTAGGAAAATGTGCCTGGCAGGCTGGCGCAGCTATCACAGCAGCGCCGCCCCCACGGAGATGCATTGCCCAGATAAGTTACCCGGGGATGTAGCGTGCGACACAGACGGATCTAGACGCGCGACTAGTGTCGCTGTGCCCGGTGGTACTTTGTTACATTGACATTTGCGCTTTGCGATTCAATTACAGTAGTAGTGTTACCTTTTGTTCGGCCGTAACAGCTGCGTGGGGTGGACATGGTGGTAATGGCAATACTGTACGTACACATGAGGCCGAAGAGATGTCTTCGGTGGTTTTGTGTTTCATGGCTGTGGGGGGAGGTGGTAGTCGCAGGGAGGTTCCTTGGATGAAGTGCATAGGTGTGCGGGAGGTGAGGTGAAGTGGATGGCGGGCCGAAGGGGAGTTGGGATGACGTAGAGCTGTGATGCGTGGCTGTTGGTGTGAACAGATGGAGGTACTGCTGTGAAGATGGTGTGAGTGTTATTGCTGGAACGAGTGAAGTCTGCGTATTGTGACAGTGGTTGTTTGCATGTGTTTTTATTGGTATTGAGATGTATATGCATGACCATCTAGAGCTGCCATTTCGGCTGAGCTGTCGACTGAACATTCGTACTCAACCCATTGTTTCTTTGCTCCTCACTCAGCGGATCAAAGCCCACCGTGAACTGTGGTCTCCTCGGATGTGACTCCTCATCATCGTTCGTCAACTCCTGTGTGCTCGTCCCGCTGCTCTTTATGCTGCATGGCCTGTCGTCCCCCTTCATGTGCTCCAGCTCGTAGGTAAGACCGTAATCATCGACGCGCTCCTCCACAACCTGGACTTCGTAGCTGACGAAGATGGCACTGAGCGACTTCTCGATGATGGGCCAGAAGATGGGCATGGAGGCGCAAATAATGGCGAGGTCGATTTCGAGGCAGGTGAGGATAATGAGAGTTGGTGACCACCAGGTGTAGTCGACGTAGGGATAGGTTGCGCCTTTGGTTTCGACGATGCCGTGGAGTCGCCAGACTGATGTTCCGACAACGCTGCGAGCATGTTAGCATGGTATGCTTGAGTTTTGTGGAACGCGCGACTTACACAGCTCCAAAGGTGAATACGCCAGCCATCGCGAACACGTTCTTGGATCGCAGGTTTGGTGTTCGGAACAACACCATTGGCGCAATGAAGATGGAGATATCGAACAACATGTTGGTGGCCGCTTGCGCTTTGTATGTAGCGATGAAGCTGTCAAGATCTCCAAGTCCGAAGCCGTAGCAATTCGCAGATACAGTGCGGTCCCAGTACCCGCGCACTGGAAAGCAGGGAAACCATGCGGTGATCGAAAAGGCAATGCCCCAAAGGGTTACAGCGACGAGGAGGCCAATGCAAATCCACCGCATGAGTCCAGCCTTGAAGATGCGGAGGTACTGGAGCAAGAGAGCAATCTTGATGACGCCGCAGTTGGTGACGTATATGGCCATTTCGAAGTAGTACAACTGACTTGGTTAGCAAGTGGCGTCATCCAGTTGAGGAATAAGCATACCCTCAGATATTCTACTAGACGGTTGTAGCCAATGTACAACATGTGCTCACCCAGTCCTTGCTTGACAGCTACTCATGTTAGTCGAGATCATACCACAAGCATGATAGACCACCTACAAAGACACATTACGACGGTGGCTGCCGTGTTCAACGACTAGATTGAGTTAGCTTCATGTCAAACATGTAAAAACTGTCAAAGGTGAACGTACCTGAGCAAGGAACACAAATGCATCATCCCAGCCCAATTCCTTGACGACTCTGATGCGGACATACAGACGGAAGAAAACTGCAAACCACGCTATGATCTATCTGTGAGGTTAGCAGATGGTACATCGAGAAGTATCACAACATCGTACCAAGAAAGTGAGCGTAGTGCCGAACATCGTCGCCCTGCGATTCGACAAGGGCAGCTCCTCATCTGGATCCGGTGCATGCAGCACCATATCGGTGTACATCTGCTCCCATGTCGACATCGTGAAGAACGTCGTACCTGAACGAAGTGGAACGCCAGCGCCGGCGCTGCTTCGAAAGATGCAGAAACTATAAGGTTGGCGAACGACCCACGCCGCAGGGCGGGAACGCAAGCCCTAATGACCTGACAGGATACCGTCTGCCGCCTTCTCCCACGAGGCTACGGTTGACGATTCAGGGCCGTTGCCAAGCTGGGTTCATGCCGTCCACGCAAGACTAACGCAGGTGGAGACGTGTTGGAGGCTCAACGCTAGGTGATAAGCGAACTGCGATTAGCGGATGCTTGCATTTGACAGGTCCTCGCCCAAACTTTACGCAGGGGTACCGCTGGGAGAAACGCTTTCTGGACGCCGGATTTCTGGCCTGAGGGATCGCGCCACGGGCTGCGCGTGCGGCGCGCGAGAGAAGGTTCCACGGCGGTGAGCGCTGGTGTTGCTTTTAATCCGTCCATGTGTGCGGTACCCGGCTTCCATACACCACCTCGTTACCTTGTGCTGTAATTGTTCTTCCAAAAGGACGGAAGTCGAGGTCCTTCTTTGCTTCGACGCTTCCATCCTGCGTCCCGTGGCAGTGTGGACTTTTCGGGGCTGTTACGCCTCATCGCCCCTGACTCCAGTATATGTACAAGGGTACCGGGAGTGACATGTCAATATCTGCCGTCTGCCGAGCACGACGAACGCAGGTTCGAGGCTGAGGTACTCGCAAGTAGCCAGCCGCAATAATCGTAAGTTTTGAAGCAGACGCAAAGATTGGCTGAATGTGCATCCCCCTGCGGAATCCTTCGCAAAGAGCACTGGCCATTGATATCATCACCAGTTTAATCCTGCACACAGGGACGACCGCCACAGATCTTCAAACACGGCCAGGGTGAAATTTCCGGGCCAATCGTTAGCCTCCGACGCCAGATGACTCGCTGATTCATCTCGTCGTTCTGCTTTGGGTGTCGCGCTAATCGCAATCGATCGGCGCAGGATTGTGTCTCATCTCTTGTGCTGGGATCCCGACTAATCGGCAAGGTCAACAACAATGCTATGTATATGTATCGGTGCAGGATCCTCGGATTCGCGACATGACACACTTGCCATCGTGTTCCTTCGATGGATCCTCCGACGCGGCGTCCCCGTTGTTCTGGTGCAACCGTGACGAGATTGGCGGGAAACAACGCCGAATCTCGTGTGTCTATGCGTCACCACGATACGCGACGAGATACTGCATCCCAAGGTCGCTTGAAGGAGGAGGAATGGCGAGATGACTTTCACATGCATACCAGATGTATGGCTGCCATGCAAATATTGAGGCTGAAGAGATGGAAAGGATCAAAGTGGGCATTGGCATCGGAGACGCGGGATGTGGAGGCACCGACTTCGTGCCGATTTTCCACCTTTCAGCGTCACGTGCCACTACACTACTTTTCTTCAGATGTTTCAAGCATATCGTAAAGGTAAGGACATGATGCTCATCCAATTGATGGCGCTACCAGTCTATACTAACAGTCGTTACATTGCAATATCGGCCTCGTTCAGTCCAGAGAAATGAGACCTCGGGATGCGGCCGGCAAGCATCGGCTCTCAATCGTTTCCATCATTGTTGTCGATGCAATACCAGCATAGACCCAGGACGCGCCCGCCCACTAGGATAACAGCCCGTTTGACCCTTCTCTACTGCTGCATTTATTCAGATACGCTGGTTCCAACCCTCAGCGGCCCGACGACTTTGCGGAAACCCCACTGAAGTACTATATCTCGCGAGCCGAGCAATCGTTCAGGTACATCGCGTTTCTATGCTCTCGCGCAATAATGCAGGGGTTGTCAATAATTCTCGAGGAGTCTTTCGTGCATATCCACGATTTTAGTGACCTCAGCCCGAACGTGTTCAACTCCCGGCGTCGAAGAACATCTATCGAGGAGACGGAGTACCTGCTGGCCTTCCTTTATAGAGCGCGTCTGCCACCCCCTAGCATCCCGGATGGTTCCATATATGGAACTTCTTCGTTCTTGTGTCGGAATTCCGACTCTTCGAGCTCCAATGTCTTCCATCCATTTGAACCAACAAACGCATGTTTTGAGATGTCGATGCAGAGCTGTAGTTATCTTCGTAGCATCATGAACTGGTAGTTCCGCAGCCAGCCACGTTTTACTTCCCATATAGAACTCGGAAAAATCGACCACGATCTCCAGGGTTTGTTTGGTCAGACTGGGAAGCTCCTCAGGCGCAACATCGGCGAGTTCGCCTCTTACCGCAAGGTTGTCTTGGAATATTCTCAGTACACTCTCGAGGCTGCTCAGAACTACCCTAACGGTTGGGTGGATCCGCGTTAGGATATCCGATGGGTACGACCGCATGCTGGACTTGACGTGTCGCAGGGCAAAACATGCATCCGAGATTCGGATGATATCTGCACGTGAGATAGTGTAAGACAAGCCATTGAAATAAGCCAAGATACTGAACGATCTAGGTATCTGCAGAGCGGTATAAGCACACTCCAAACATTCCTGTTCCGCTGGTGTTGGGTTCGGGTAATGGAGTTGTAGTTCAGAGGTGAGAAAATCGCCCTGTCTGACATATAATAGGTGCAGAACTCTGCAAGATCAGCTCGAGTGGGCGAACTCGGGTCTATGGGCTGACTTACCGAAGGCGCAAGTAGTAATACCAGTACGAAAAGAAGTTGAGCGACCGAACCACGGGAGCTGGGGCCGGTACAAAGACATGGAGACTTCGTCGTCGGCTGGGCTGTCGAAGGTATAATCTTACATCGCAGTCGTACCGAAGTCTGCGTAAGACATTTGACTGCAACTCTGTAGCGCCAAATCGCCCATGGAAACTGCGATGAGCGTTCAATCCGGTGGCGATGCTCGTAGTAGGAAAGTTGATAATTCTAGGCGCAGGTCTCGAGATGGAGAAACGAGCAATCGTGGAGAGAGGCATGGTTGCGAAGAAGCCCCGGCGCGAAGACCGACTGATGCCGGCGACCTGGCAGTGCTAATGGGCGGGGCTTGGGCATCGTCGAGACGGATGTTTCGAAGTGTTGTTCAGGTATGCGGTTGAGCGGCACAGTCGTGTGCACGTGAGACCGAATGAGGCTAGTACGCGACGCGAAGGAAGTAGAGTGAGCAGGCGCACATAATTTCTGTCAAGTCCGCGGCTCCTTCTTCTCTCCAGACCCTTTTCTTGAAAGCAATACCGAGAGCGCTGGAAACGACCATGACAGCGAATACTCAAAAAGACCCATTCGGTCAACTCCCCGAGGAGCTCCGGATCCAGATTCTCAGACTCTCACCAAACCCTTTTTCACTGCGAAACCTGGCCCACGCCTCGCCCGCCATGGGTAGAGTGCTCGACAGATATCCGCTCGAAATTGTCGAGGTGGTTCTAGAGGCTACCGTTACCTTGAAGATCCGTCGCATGATGGGCGCGGTGCTCAAAGCACGCTTTTCAGTCTTCCCAGCATCCTTATCCGAGGCCCAAACTGTTGCTGAAACTGACTCGACTATGGCCACCGAGGAAATGCGTTCGTCTGGACTGAACCGAGCCGCCGCGGCAGTACGTTCCTTGCTTGCCAGCGCCGAAAATGTGCATTCCTGGTCCCATGCCTGCCTTGAACATCTGATACGAAAATCTATGGAGCTAAGGCCCTCTACACTCATCAAAAATGGGTCCGGCTATACACGCCGGGAGGAATTCGAAAACGCCGAGTTTCTCAAGAAGGACTATGTTCCACAGGATACCGGCCCGGCTTCGTGGTCGGAGGAGCTTCGGATAATGCTATCATTCTGGCAATTGCAATTCTTTCTGGAACTCCAGGGCGCCGGTCACAAGGGTAGCCTTGACACCAATTGGTCGAGACAGGACGTTGACGTGTTGTCTCAGAGCAGCGCGGATGGCTTTTACGACGTGTCAAACTGTGTGCGGGAGCAGATCTTGACCGCCAGCGACTTTCTCGGCGCAGTCACCTCTGGGACTATTGCTCCGGTGGGAGCGGTTCAGGACAACGCATATAGTTTGCCAGCGATACCTTGCGTCGAAGAGGCAGCATCAAAGTGTCGCTGTACCGAAGCGTTCGAAGAAGAGCGCATCAACTCGTACAGAAACTGGGCTCCGGGTCACGGATCTATCGAATCTCAAGGACTGTGGGGGTACAGCTTTTATTGCGCCATGTCCTCACTCGATGGATGGCTAGATGGATACAGGCTTACGCTTTGCTACCCGTTTCAGTTCTGGCGCAAATATGGGTTTGCCATATGGGATGACAAGCGCATGGTTGATCTTGGCATGAAGCACCCGACGCATAAGTCATTCATGAGAGCTTCGTTTTTTTACTCTTTTCGATGGTGGAGCTTGTTGACGGAGGAAGAGCTGAGTCAGGAGTTTTCACTGCGAGAGCAGGGTCTCCGGTGATGGTTCTCTGCTATAAAATTACTCCCTACAGCGACGAACATGCAGGTCAGCACGACCTGTCAGTCCTCAACTCTCCCGTAGATCAAAGGACGACTTCAACATCCAAGCCAAACCCTAAACAGGCCCTAGTCTGAGTCAAACCCGCAAAACCGCATTGTCAAATTCCCATACCATCGGTCCCTTCCCCCGAAATTACCCCCAACTTAATCCATCCCACGCAGTGCACTCAAATTAGCCAATCTACCCGTGCCAAGACCCAACGGAACACCAAAGGCAGATCAGAATAACCTGAAGTAGGTAACCCGATATACACTCCAAAGAAGCGGAGATGACGGGCCTAAGGACACAGGAAGATCCTTGTTGCATTGCGCTCGATTTGAGATCTTGTGAAAAGGTCAAGGGAAGCATGTTAAGATATAGTAGGCAGGGTGAAGTGGGCAGGGTGATGCTGGGCTTCATTGGGTTGCGTATCTTATCTTGTCTGGTTGTGGTGTTGGGGTAGGAGGTAGATAGGGCAGGGTACGAGAACGGTACAGCGTGATGAGGTTGATGAGGTTGATGTCGTTGATGATAAACTAAATAGCCATCTCCGTCTATCCCGCCGCGACTCCAGCGATGAAAACGGAGACATATTCCAAATAGGTCTCACACGTGCTCTACACATGCATGCACTGATAGATTTACAGAAGAGATGGTGATACAAACCGCGTGTTACGTTACCATCACAGCGCTACTCAGCACATTTGTTAATACAAACATGTAGCCATCCCTCAACCCAACCTCCTCCCATCAAAAAACCCCATCCTCCCCCCCTCATCCACACCCCCCTCCAACCCCCTCGGCACAAGCCTCCTCAGCACCGCCAACGCAGCCTCCAATTCCCTCTCATCAGGATGCCACAAGTCGCGAATCTCGTTCCACGCTGTGAGTATACGTTCGGGGGTCGCGCATCTCCCAAACGCACGGAGCGCCGCAATAACAGCGAGACTAGACAGCCATGTACGCTCCATACTATTGCTGTTGAGCGCGTTGAGATACTGTGTCCATATCTTCTCGAGGCGGGACAGTGTCCAGGAGGAGTATCTAACGCCGCCGAAGGAGTTGAAACCGTGGAATATGACGATGAAAATTGTGCCGTCGACAGAAACGGAGTTGTATTTCATTTCCTGGAGGAGGTCGTTGACGCGGTCGATGTTACCTGCTACAGCTGCGTGATGGCGTATCAGGATGCCATAAGTCCGTGAATCGGGGCCGATGGGCGCGAGGTCTTGGAGTTGCTTTAGCTCTTCGTCTCCGCCTTCTTTTTTTAGTCTGCGTGCTTCGTCGCGGAATTTCATGCCGAGCACGCGGCGGTCGCGCCAGGTGCGGTTGAAGAAGACGTGGCCGCGGGCTGTGGCGCTGCGTTGCGCGTGCAGGCGCTTCATCCGCTCGAAGACGTGTTCGGCGGCTGAGGGCTCGCCGGCGCGCATTAGGGATGCTATGACGGCGTTCATGACGACGGTGTCTACAATGTCGCCGGCGGAGACGAGGTCGAGATATGCTTTTCGGACGGCATCGCCGTTTTGGAGAACGCCGTAGTAGTAGAGGAGTGCTACTCGGTAGTGTCGGTGCATGGGTAACTTTCGGGCTTGCATCTCTTTCATGAAGGTCTCGGCGAGTGTGTATTTGCCCGCTTTGACGGCAATGTTGAAGAGCACGTTGAATGTGACATATCCACCCTTTAGACCGGCCCGGTGCTCCATGTCCTGCCAAATGCGAAGGGTGTTTTGTAGGTCATCATCGGACACTGTTCCCATGGCGCGTCCAGTCAAATGTATGGCCGATGTCCACTCTGAGCGGACTATGTGTATATGCGCCGTCTTCATATCGTCTAGGACCGAGAGAAACCGTTGCGCTGCGATGGGTGTGGGGCGTTCGACAATGGCGAGATGGTGCAGTAACGCTCGGATAGTCATGGTAGTAAGATATACAACTCCTGGTGACTGCAGTTTCTTATAAGTATCAAACACCTCATCGTGCGGCGACTCATCATCCTTCAGCAGATCCTCTAACTTCTTGATATGCAACGCATCTGCTGGCTCGCGTAGAGGCCAGGGCTCGTGGTCATCGCCAACATTCCAGACCAGCTTTCCCTCGTCAGGAACATCTGCCTCAGGCCGGGTATCAATTTCCATGCCATAGTAATCCACCAAGGCCTGCAGTTCCTTCTCGGCGAAGTTTTTGACTTTCTTGAGCGGCCCTTTGCGCTCGGGAAAAATATCCAACTTCTTCTCCGACTTCGACCACGTGCTCTTTCTGCGTGATGTCTGGTGTTTCGGTATCGGCGATGCTACGTCGCGCGGGGTATGTATATGTTTCGCATGCTTTGGGCACGACCCGGCCCGCACCAATGCCTGGATGAAGAAGGTGTCCATGCGAGCAGACGGCCTATCGGGTAACGGAGCATTGTCTATCGCCTTCTTGCTGAACCTCCTCTTGGATGTATTCTTCTCGGGATTCGGGTACAGGAAGGTGAGGAAGGGGCGAGCATGGGCGGTATTGGAGACTGCAGAGGTCCGGTCGAGGGTGCGGAAGAGGGACATGAGAGGTCGAGCATTGTGTCAGAGGGAGCCAGTTCAGACGGTGTCCATTTGGGGGATTCTGGGTGCAATTGATTACGGGGAGCTCAGCGAAGAGCTGCCTGGGTGGGAGGATAATTGTGGCGGGTGCTGAGTGTCGCGGTCATACTCTCCAAAGATTTCGGCGTCGCGAAGTCTTGGCGGAGTTGCGGACTTTGCGGGCAAGAACCCCAATATCCACCACACGACCAATTGCGCCGCCCGACCTGCTGCTACACCCTCCGTCTCCCCCCGGAACCCCCGCTGATGCGATAACATATCTGATTATATAAAACAACACACCGCCCGCCATGGGCCGCTACGACTTCCGCCCAATGCGGGTGCGCCAGACCGCGAAAGCCCTCTTCGACTCGAAACGAGAACCCAACCTCCCGCAATGGTACGACGTCGTCGGAAACATACCGCCCGGCGAGACGCTCGCCCGCCCCGTCCTGCGCATACCCAAGATGCGGAAGGCGCGGAAAGCCAGCAAACTATTCCAACCCCTCCCCATCGCATACCCAGAAGACAAGCTGCGTTCAGAGTTCTTCGGCGACCACCCATGGGAACTGGCGCGGCCGAGGCTAGTCGTAGAAGACAGCGGAAACGACTCCAAGAAATACGACTGGAGTAAGATTGTCCAGCCAGGAAAGCAGTTAGACGGTGAAAGGTACCTCCAACCTCCAACCACCCCTACCATCCCACCCACCATAAAACTAACACCCACGCCCAGCGTCGTCCAACGCCAAATGTGGCTAATGAAGCACGCCTCCCTCTCCAAGTCCTCCGCCTACGACCTCGCCCGCCGCGAATTCTACCAACACCGCCACCTCTCCGAAATCCGCCAACGCATCGCCAAAGAAGAAGCCCTACACGTCGGCGCCTACTTCGGCAAAGGGCCCCTTGAAATCGGAATGGAGCTCGAAGACCGCACGTGGGAGAACTGGAAGGCGTGGGCTGCCCAGCAGATCGAGGATGAGCAGAGTATGCGCGCGCAGATGTTTAGTGGGCAGCAGGATGAGGGGTTGGGGGATGCGGCCGAGATGAGTACCGCGGAGTACGATGAGGCGGTGCAGGAGATTCAGCCCAGTGCGCCGAATAATCCGCAGGGGATGAGGCCTATGGGGGGTGTGGCGGCGCATGCGTAGGGGTGATGTGTGGATGGGTATTGGGGGTGGACTGATGTTGTATATTTTGTGTAGATTACGATTACGATCGGGACAATTCAATGGATATAAGACAAGTCTTGTCTGGACAATGGGACGATGTGGGCATGAGGAGGGCATAGACGACATTGCGATGATGCTGATCATCATCAGGGTAGTGATGAACGCAGTAGCATCCAGGCTTTCTGGATCAACAATCTCAATTCTCCCAATGCATTTCAGGGAGGTATGTTCTTTTCATCTCATTTCTGCTTTCCATAGTGTATTTTGGCGAATCCCAGGCGGAGGAGTCATGCGTTCGTGCACATCTTCTTTTTGGACGAACACCAGGCGACAGCATGCGCAGTTGGACGAATGATTTTGAACATGCTGTGGTTTCCTCCAGATTTGAAGTACAAAGAAGCAACATAAAGATGAGGTTGTATATCTCAACGGCGAAAGCGAGCCTCCAGACATGGCTTCGTCCATCCATTGTTTCAGCTGCCCGCTCGAATCTCATGTCATCGTGCTCTTGCAATTTGATGAGCCGTAACCGCCATGTCAAAGAAGGATTGCATTTTGGTCACTCCGAAGAGACGAACATGGAGGATAATAACCGATTTTTTTGGGAAAATCGACTCTGTCAAGTGGGATATAAGAGGGAAAGACTTTGAAGTGAGGGAAGAGTGTTTTATACCCCAAAGCTCTGGGCGGGAACAGACATGAAAACTGCTAAACCGTGTTTGATATCATACAATAGACTGGGTGTCTTCCGCACAACCATTGTCTCTATGTCATGCCTTTTTGGAACGGTTGTTTAAAAGGTTTACATTGAAGGCGAGGCCGGAACGAGACATCGAGTTTTGGGAGGTCCTTTTTGGACGGTCCTGCCAGAAAAAAATGGCTTTTGTGCTGATAAGGATGTTTGGTTTGGCTCAAACATAGGTGGAGGTGCATAGGTCTTTGGAGGAAGAGGCGAACAACACCATCAACGTTTTCACCTGCCGTTTTTGGTTTCTTTTTGGAATTGGAAAGTGTAATGAAGGAGATAAGACCCAGGAGGCCGTGGTATATATACACTTTGCGATCAGACTCGGCGGAGCGGAACATGCACACTTCGTGCGCTGACTTTCGAAGACATAGACGTCTTCCTCTAGTATTTTGACTCCTCGGTGCTCCACAGCGACACATCAACCTTCATACTCGAGGGTTTGATACATCCTGGACCTACACTGTCCGAACATGAGTGACCTCTCTG